TGTGAGGTGCAAATGAAATAGATGGGCGACCGTTTGGCTAAAGTTGATGCTGTCATTAGTTTTGGCTTACCGAAACTCTACTGTCTGTAGTAAGCAGTTTGTGACAGTATAACACGTATCACGCTTTACTTCTTATGTTGTATATTCAGAGCTTAATCTTATGGTAGGTGATGCAGAACTCAACCAGTGCCATGTGTTCTGAGTACAGCTAACTTATTGTATCACCACATATTGAATCAGATCTAATTGGGTGAAGAGTGATTCATGCAATCTTAGGCTACTCAAGTATGAATAATAACAAATTTAATTTGGTTTCCCAAGTGGGGTTTTTTTTCCTTTAATTAGACTTACTAGATCAATCATGTTTCCCTGGAGTGAAATAATGCCTCTTTAATGTCATTACGGAGCTCTCCTTGCTTGCCTCTTAACTCACAGTCTTGCTTGTTTGGTATTGGTAGGAGTTATTGTTGTTGTTGTTGTTGTTGTGGTTTTTGCTCCTCAACCAAGTTTTGGAGTGTTCCTCACATTGAGGAGCAAAACTAGGATCACAGGTCTACTCTTGTACTTACAGTATCCACTGTCCATCCTTGTCTTTTTGCATTTGTGGGGGTTTTGGTACAGGCCCTGAAGAAGGATCTCTGCTCTTTGTTCTCTTGTCTCTGTTCAGAGATTTAGGAGTGACTGGGAGCACTGTTTCAAGGGTCTTAAAGTCCACATGTCACTGTTGTCTCCTGACAGGCATGTTCAGCTTTTGACTTCCTGGAGTGGAAGAAAGTTCATCAAAATCTCTCACATCCATTTTGTTTGGTTCCGATTTGTTAATACCTGACAGGGTTCAGTGTGCCTGTAGCTGTTCAAGTATGAGGTATTAGAGACGGCTTTGTGTACTGTTCGAACATATTTGAGTAAGCGTGTTGTTTTAGTCCCTTCATCTATGTATATGTATAAAACATGTATATCTAGTTCTTTGTGAATCTTGTCGCGATTTTTGTTTGTTTTTCCGACACTTTCAGTTTTTTGCCTGATAGGCGCATTCCTGGATTTTAGCTCTTAAGGACATTGCAGCTTCTGTTTTCGGAGCTCATCCTCTTCTTCTCTTAAGCATTTAAAGTGAGAAGTTAATAGATTTTATACATTTTGTGGTCAATAAATACAATATATCGAACAATTAACATCTAGAATGTCAGTTTAAGATGCTTGTAATGTTAATTTGTATAGACTAGGAGTATGTCTATCTCAAACAAGCTTGTATCGTCCTATCACTGTACTTTTAAAAAAAAATTGTTTTTTAACTGTCTTGTTCCGCTTCATGTAATAGTCTGCTACTATTAGCAGACTAAACAGACCAAACTACGAGTTTAGTGAAACTTAATGAATAATACCTATAGGTATGGCCTGTACTACATACCTGGTTTCTCCTTCTGATTTGAGAACTACAGTCCCGGCACAGCACTGTCAGCTCCTGCCTTTCTGCCTGAGAAGCCCTCTGCAGCTACCTTTGGAACATAGTCATCTTCTCCTCTGCCTGGCAATATTGGGAAAAAGGCCCCTAGACCATGGGGCTTGGGAGAGACAAAGCATGGGAAAATGAACTGTCTTTGCCTTGTCCCAGCACTAGCAGCACTGGGTTTGTTAAGGCCTCTCTCACCCTCCAAATACACTGCCTGTCCTCTTCTAATCCAGTCTCCCTCTGACATAATTATCTTCAAGGCTTGACGACAAAAATTTTGAGTATGTTAAATAGATTAATTGCTTAAATATTTTAAGGTTTTATTTTCTTTGTATACAGGTAAATGCTGAAAAACTGTTTACACAATAGCTCGCTTAGCCTTTTTGTTTTGCTCTACTGTATCAGCTGGTAGTATATATTCAGGAAGATCTGCAATGGCACTGTGGGTTTCAGGAATAAGAATGCCATTTCTACCTTTCGGCTGCTTAATTTCGTGAGACTGCTCCAGGAAAATACTGGAACTGGGAAACACATTAATAAGTTTTGAATGTTTCAGGAGTCTGTCATCTTAATATTACTAAACTGATTTCTAAATATAGTCAAGCAGTTTCATCCTGTTAATTCAATTTTTAAAAATCTCCATTCTGGTTACTGTCTTGTGTAACTTTGCCCTGAAATTTCAGCATTAATAGGTAACAAGCTACTATCCAAATCCCAAAAAGTTACACAGCTTCGATGGTGAAACTTTTGTGACCGGGGCTTCTTGATATACTGAGGAGCAAAATGTCAAAAACCAATTACATATACCAAAGAAATGTGTAAAAAGCAACATTGGGGTGGTTGCTATGCTCAATAATTGTTTAACTTTTCCTGTACCTTTAATTTCAGGAAAATATAGATGCAAACTCATGTTTAGACTCTGCTTGATCCCAGTTACGGTTTTTGCCCAAAGTCAGAACATTAAATGAAAATACTGTAATCTAGTCGCGTAGGTATGTCTCAGATGGCAGTGGCGCTTGGCTCTTGATGAGTTAGTATCACTCTAGAAATGAAGAGGGTCAGGTCCAACAGTACAAGCTGGCACATTGTCAATTATTGAGCGCATTGTCATCAGTATATAGTTATTCCTGTACATGAAAGACCAGTAAAATCTATGTCTGACTAATTGCCTAGCAATGTTAGTATCTGTCTTTCATCTCATACTTGAAGATGTTTTTCACACCATACAATCTAGAGAATCCATGAAATAACCAATGGGCATCTGCAACTGGTTCTGGACCATCTGACAGGTATTTCTTATCCATTGTTATATCCCTGTATTACCCTGTTTTCCTCTTCATCTGTATATAAGAAAAGCCTGTTTAGATGTTCCCTGTCAGGAGAGGAGGGGGAATAGGATGTGTTAGGTGCTATGGGGTATTATTAGAAAGACTTAAGAATTTTGTCTCTAGTCTTTCATCTCAGAAGAGATGAGCAGGTGGCAGAACCTAGTTATTGAAGTGGAAGTGATGGTACACTTTTTAAAAAGTCCAAATTGCCAATTAAACAGCTGACACTGTTTATTCTACCTGAGTGCATGTAGAAGTTACGCATTTTGAATAGAACTATTGTTTGCTGCTGTACTTCGAATAGAAATAAAGTGAGTTGTCCTTTAACAGGTTTATGGATTTTTAAAAGGGAAATGTTAATTAAAAGACAGCTAGCTTGTGAATTTTGCTGAAATAGAGAGCTAAGGGATTTAAATTCTAGAGCTTCTTAAAGCACTAGCTATAGAAAGAATAAAAGGACTGACCAGTGGAAAAAGAGTGGCGTCTTGGAATATGAAGCAGCGTGTACAGAGTGAGAAGTGTCCATGTCTAGCTGTGTTGATGTGGCTGGGAGGAAGCACACCTTGGGAGATGGTGAAGCAGCCTGGTAGTGAGAATGAGTGAGGATTAAATACGTATACTCTACTATCTGTGTCGTATCAAAACTTAACTTTTGGCCTCACTGAAAACTCAGATGATGATGACATCTACAGGATTGAAAGCCAAATGATCACTAGATCTTAGGGTAATGGAACTTTATTTTGCAATAAATGAACTGGAAGCAGACTTGAGTTGAATGCCCAATAGAGGATGAGTGTGTAATGGGAGACAGGGATTAAGACAAGGAAATTTTCCACTGTGACTTGCAAAAGTATTGGCATAGGAAATTACTGCCTCGTTAGCAAGTTTCAACTGGTATCATGTGACTGAAAGAAGGAGATACTTTAGGGAGCATGGATTGTTTACTAAGGTGTGACTTCAGAGTTATCTTTTTTTTAATAGAAAAAATACGTTGAAACATTATCAAATATTATTGATATGGTAGGAAGCTGTGTGGAATACAAAAGCTGTTGATTGGTTGCATTGGGTTAGTTGAGGGTTGAGAACCCATTTTTCTTGCAAAGAAAATCAGATAGATGTACTCTCTTGATCTTGTCACCAGTAACTTCCCCAATGCATGTAAGGTGATTCCATTCATCATCCTTCAGGAGAAGTTGAGACCTGGTGAGAGAGAGATTTGATTAAGCAGAAGTAGGTACTGTTGAAAGAGCAACTAGAATCACTCTGATCTGTGGTCAGTAGAGTTGGACTAGTCCTTGTTTTCCTTAGCAAAGGCAAAATGAAAAAGGAGCTTGCATATTAAATATGATGATACTGAAGGCAGGTATCCCCTCAGGAACACAGGAGTAAAATGGAGGAAGAATCAGGTGGCCTTAAAAGACTGGGCGATACAGGGCTGAAATTGAGAGTTTCTACTGGAGATGTGCAGTTTGGCCTTACAGGATACAGTAGGAATCTGTAGGTAAGAGTGACAGAGAAAAAGAGAGATTTGGATGTGCTTCTTAATTGCCTGGTGACTGAGATAGCAGGGAAGTGTGATCTTAAAGTAAGGTATGTCATAGGATGGATGGGGTGAGGTTTTTTGTAGTAGATAAGTAATGAGAGCTAATGCAATTGTACGTGGTACTTTGGTAAAATTTCCATATGCTTCCTGCCTATATTCCAAAACTGTCAGTTGAAACTGATGGGGATTGCTGTTCTCTTTTTCGTTCACAAAAATGTTTCCACAACTGTCCTAGGACTGGGATATCTGGCTCTGCAAAATAAAAACACAGAAACAATAATGGCCCTATGCAAAATCCATCAAGAGATCCTGATGTGGGAAGAGAGTTACAGAAAAGATAAGGCAGTCTCAGTTAAAAGCAAGAACAACAACAAAGACCCCACAAAAACAGTGAACATTTGTCAGTAGACCTTTAAGCTCATTACTCTGGTAATTTAAAACCTTATGTTCTGAACAGGTTCCGGTAAAAAAAATTTGAAATTTTTTGCTTTGCTTCTACTGCATAAATTGTCTATACAGAATTTAGAATTTACTATTTTATATTGTCAGCCAAGAAGCTAGTGGCACTCTGCTGAAGAAATAACTTCTGTAAATACTTAAATTAACAAATGTTTGATGTATCACTGGCTGCACTATCTCATTTGTGGCTACTAAACAGACCTTTCAAACTGTCCCTTAGGTTCCTGATGTCATCAGCAGCATAAGACAAGTCTCCAAAGCAGCACTAAAAGAAGATGCCAAATCAAGTAAGGATAGTGAAGATGCCTTCTATGACTCTCAAAAATTTGAGGTCTTGTACTGTGGAAAGGTGACAGTGGCTCACAAGAAAGCTCCCTCCACACTAATCGATGATTGCATTGAGAAATTCAGCCTTCATGAGCGCCAACGCCTGAAACTATTAAATGAGCAGCGGAATAACGAGTCGAGTTTGGACTTACCCCTGTGTGAAGGAAATGGACCGGCATCTCCATTGGATAGCCCATTTGAGGAGCTGGACAGCCCAAATGACACCGCAGGGCACACTGTGATGTTTACAGTTGGCAGCCAGACCAACTTGACCAACATGGCCAGCACTCGTGGCTCCTTTCCAGAGCGAATTTTAGAGGACTCTGGCTTTGATGAGCAGCAAGAGTTTCGCTCCCGGTGCAGCAGTGTCACTGCAGTTATGCAAAGAAGGGTTCATGACACAAACCTGAAAATACAGCCACGCAGAAGACATGCAAGTGCACCCAGTCATGTTCAGCCCTCTGATTCTGAGAAGAACAGGACAATGTTGTTCCAGGTGTGTGCTAGGATGAGCCATTTCGTGTTGGTTTTGCACCATACCTTCCCCTGTGCAGTTTGAAGCTGAGGCAAGTTTTGCAAGTTGTATGGATCCAATATGGTTTCACGATTTGTCATAAATATTTATGTATTCGTTCCTAAATTATTGGAACACAAGTAGCTGAACTTTCTTAAGGAATTCACCTCATGAGCTCAGGTAAATTTTAAGAAAAAGGAATTACTTATCTAACTTATCTAATAATTACAGGAGCAGAGGGAAAGAATTATTTTATGTGCAGTTCTGGTTCATATCTATCAGTGAGATCTAGGACCTATCTGAAAAAAGTGAGTATTCTTTCAAAAAGAGAATCAATTAATACTTCCATGTGAACAAATCCTCTTTTATGTGCAATTAAAAAGAAGCTCACAACTTCACATAAGGCTTTCACAACCTTATGTTTGACCCAGGCCCTTTATAATAATTTGTACTGATGTTCAGCTTGTCTTTCCCAAGATGAGTATTCAAACGTCTCTGCACAGAAAGCTTCTTCCTCCAGACCTCATGGTTATTTCTTCTCTTGCCTGAGGTGTATTTGACATCTTCAGAGCTTGTATTGAGAAAACAAAAGGACACTTAAAGGAGGTGGCCCATAAAAGAAAAGATCTTTGGATCTTAAAATAACAGGGGGCAAAATGCCTGGGTTTTGTCTTTGCATTTGCTTTAAAGATCCTTCTTGCCTTTTGTTCTCTTGGGGAAAAGATAACTGAAGTGAAAATACATTACCCTTTCCGAAAGGCACAGCTATCACTAGTAATGAAAAGGATTTAGTTGAAAACCTCCCCAAGCTCTATGGAATAAGTTCCATATGCTTGAGAAGCAGTTTGGGAAAGGTGAAAAATAGCTTGCTCCAAAACCTACTCTTTCTCATCTGGAATTACAACAAAATCAAAAAGTATCACCTTAAGATCAACGTCATTTCTCAGCTGATCTACAATACGGTTTTAAAAAAATAATAAATACACAAATTCTGGTTTTTATTGCAGCTTTTAATTTAGGCACATTGTTTACTAAAGGTTTTAGTATTGTCTGTCAAACATGGGATCTTTGAACCAAAATAACTCAAAAGGAAAAGGGAGAGGGGGGGAGAAACATCTTTTTCATGTTCAACTGAGTGTATTGTTCTTGGTGAAATATTCTTATTCAACATAAGCTGAATTATGGCACCCTTG